AGGAGTTATTTTTTAAATTTATATTGATGCAATTTTCATTATGTTTCCAAAGTTTTTTAATTTAAATTTTAGTTGTCTTTTATAATTTTCATATAAATAAATTTAATAAAATAAGTTTTAAGTATCAAATTAATAAAAAAAAATTAAATATTAAAATTAAAAATAATTATTTTAAAAATGTCAAAATTGATCCAAAATTAGAAGATAATAAACTAAAATTAATATTTTAAAATATAAAATAATAAAATAAAATAAATGTTAAAAATAAAATAAAAAACTAAAAAAAATATAATTTAGTCCTTTTAACATGATTTGTACTAAATTAACATGTAAAAAACTTTAATTTATTATTCCTTAAGCAAAATATTCTGCGCGTAAATAACTTGAACCAACAATATATTCAATATAATATTCCTCACCAACTGCAGGAAATAGTCTCTTTAATTGCTTGTCTTGTTACGCTTTTTCTTTTTTATATAAAGAATATATACGAATATTCAGCCAAATAATATTCCTCACCAACCGCTGGAAATAGTCTCTTTAATCGCTTATCTTGTTTTTTTTTTATTATAAAGAATAAATATCTATTTCCAAGATTTAAATATCTATTTTCCAATTCTATAATTGAAAGTTTTTAAGGTATCTCTAATGGAAACAACTCATTTGAGTTGACTCAAACACAAATTTACTCCGATGATAAGAAATTTTAAGAAATTTAATTTTTAGAATTTTTTTCTAATTATTTATGAATCAAATTTAAATTTTTATTAAAAAAAATAATTGCACTACAATGAAAGAAAATAAATTACAAGAAAAAATATACAATAAGTAGATATTAAAAATAAAATAAAGTAATAGTAAATACATAAACATTATACAAAATTAATTTTCATTATTATTATTTCTGAAACGTTTCTAAATATGTTCAATAAGATCTGCTTGAAATTTGGTAAAGAACGATTGCTTGAGAAACAACTCTCTCTTCTTCAAGCAACTCATGTTGCCACGTCAGAAACCTCCAATGACAAGAAATCAGGACTTGAGTTGCTTCATAGGACAAACAACTCTCATTGAAATTGCTCTTAGACTCTAAAATATTAAAATAATTTTATTAGTCTATTTTTAATTCTCATAAATATGTATACGATTTTATGTTTTCTTTTAATTCATTTCTCTTAATATTCTTTGTAAATTAAAAGGGATAAAAATTATTCATACAGTTACAATTAGATACCATATATAGAACGTTACGTCATTATCATATTAATCATCAATATATATCTATTAAATGGAGAGTTTTTTTTTTTGTTCGTCCCTAGAGTATCCACCGTCGACAGCAGTGACTAGTCTCCTCGCTTCGTTGGAGGCACGGATGGGATAGCTGACCCCAAGATTTAACGCGGCAACATACACAAGGCAGGATTCGAACCTCTGACCTTGATTTAATGTACACATCAATTCTTTTAAAATTAAATTGATTTAGTGTTGTATAATTATCAATTTGATATTCATATATGAGTCAATTTTTTAAAAATCACATAACTCGACCAATTTAATAAAGTGAATTGATTTTATCTCATAACGGATCAGATTTTTATTTATTTTTTTTATGTAAATCAATTTATTATCAATTGACTTGGATCGGTTAGATTTTTACATACTCCTTAATCACTATGAAAGAATCAAATTCGATCCCAATTGGAAGAAGCTTTAGCTCTAATATGGAAACGTTGGGTGGCGAAGTTGGGTTTGTTTGGTACAGAAAATGAAATTAAATAAATAAAAGTAAAATGAAAAGAAATAGATAAGAGAGAAATAAGTGAGTAAAAATATATAAAATAAAATAAAGTAAAAATTTGATTGTTTGATTGAAGAAAAATAAGTAAAAAATAAGTAAAAAATAATATTATGTATATTTAATAAGATGAAAAGAAATAGATAAAAAATAATAATAAGGGATATGAAAAGAGAAGTGATACCCATACATTTCAAAATGGATCCAACTAAATTATTTGGAGATGTAGTTGGACTGTTTCATTAATTTTTTTAGACAAAAATATTTTTAATAAAATAAAAAAAAAATTATTTTTTCTTAAATTATTTATTATAAAAACAAAATTTAAAAAGTAACTCTTATCTACATTTTAAAAAATTATATTTAGAAAAAACCTTTTCTTAATCGTTTTTTAAAATTTAGACTAACCGACCCGTCGTCCATTTCCTTTATCCTATTATGCAACCGACATATATATAATTTTTTATAT